TCAAGGAAAGCCGGATTTAGAGCAGCCCTAAGCAAACTGTGGGTCACGGCTGGTGCCAGTTCAGGAGCTGCTTGTTACCAGTTCCAGACAAGGATAAGCACAAAAACTGAGTTTCCATCTAAGGTTGGGTTCAGAGGGCCGATTTAAGTAATCCGTGGATTTTCAACAGCATGGTGGGTCGGCACCCCTAACCCTGGAGTTGTTCAAGGGTCAACTATACTTCTTAATGTAACCATTTAGAAACGGTTGCAGCGATTTGACATTGCCACAACCTCCAAGCCTGTGGTGAAGGACTTGTCTCATGAAACATGGCGCAGACGAGTTTGAGTGTTGTCAAACTTGCATGGAAAGTCATGTACAGTAGGATAGTGTTAAATATGTGATATTTTAAGTTCAGTTTGTCAACTATACTCTAGAAGTGTATAAAAATCTATACAAGCACTATTTGAAAAGTAATCACTTATTTATTTTAATTTAAGTTTATTGGGGTAACAGTGGTTAGTAAAATTACATAGGTTTCAGGTGTACAATTCCGTAATGCATCATCTATACATCACATTGTATGTTCACCACCCAGAGTTTAAGTTCTCCCATCACCATGTATTTGATCCCATTTACCCTCATCTACCACCCCCGCACCCCCCTTACCCTCTGGTAACCACTGAACTGTTGTCTGTGTCTATGAGTTTTTATGTCTTTATGTGTTTGCCTTGTTTCTTAGTTGCTTTCAGTTTTATATCCCTCATATCAGTGGAAGCATATGGTTCTCGACTTTTTCTATGTGACTTACTTTACTTAGCATAATAAGTACTTATTTATTTTTAAAACTTGCTATTTTAATCACTTTAATTTTTAACAAATGTAATTTAAAACTTAGCATAACATTATTAGTTAAATTATAGAAATAAATTAGTGTTTTTTATTCTTTCAGGTTTATTGAGATATAGCTTATGTATAGTAATATTCGCCCTTTTGAGGTGTTTAGTTCTATGAGTTTGACAAATGAATAGAGTGTGTAACCATCACCACGATCAAGATATAGAATATTTTTATCACTCCAGACATTGTCTCTAATCCTTTTATAGTCCATTCCTCCCCTCAAAAGCACTCCTCTGATTTCTATCTCTTTATGTGGTTTTTTTTGGTTTGGGGTTTTTTTTGTTTTGTTTTGTTTTTTGCCAGAGTGCCTTATAAATGGAATCATGCAGTATGTAGCCTTTTATGTCTGGATTCTTTCACTCAGCATAAAGCATTTAAGTTTCATCCATTTGTTGCACGTACAGTACTTTGTTCTTTTTTATTGCCAAATAGTATTCCATCATATGGATGTAACGTAGTTTCTTCCTTCATTCCCCAGTCTATGAACATTTGGGTTGTTTCCAGGTTTTGGTGATTGTAAAGCTGCTATAAACATTGACCTACAGCTGTTTGTGAAGATAGATGTTTTCATTTCTCTTAAGTAAATGCCAGTGAGTTGGATTGCTGGGCCATATTTATGTTTAACTTTATAAGAAACTAGCAGACTGCTTTTTAAAATGGCTGTGCCGTTTTGCATTCCCAGTAGCAACATGTCGGAGTTCTAGCATCCTCCCCAATAAGCAGTGTGTTTTTGCTTTTTGAAAGCCATTCCAATAAGTAATGTACTGGTATTGCATTGTGATTTTAATTTACACTTTCCTAGTGATTAATAACGCTGAACATCTTTTCATGTACTTATCTCCCATCTATATCTCTTCTTTGGTGACACGTCTGTTCACATGTTAATGCCTAAATGTGCTTTCAATGAACAATGTGGACATTTTTTATAATTATTTTTGTTATTCTATTTTTGTTCTGATTACATTTATTGACATAGAACTTTATGCCTATTGACTCTAACAATAAAAATTGGGACTTCCATTCTGTAGATCTTATTATTTCTTTTTATTTTTCTATCATTTATTTTTATCAGATTTAATTATTGTATTGGTCCTGATTGTTGTGGAAATTTAAAAGCCTGGTTCTTTGCCATAGATCACCTGAGAAGTACTGAGCTAGCCAGATGTCTTATCATGGACACAGCCCCTCTCTCCCTGGCAGGGTATTCTCATTGTATTCTCATGTCCTCACGAGAGGGAAAGCCTTTCTAAAATGGTGATATTTGAACTAGGGAAAGACCATTCCAAGTGGAGGGACAAAATGGCAAAGTTTGAGGAGGTTGGAAAAGGGCATAGCATGTTTAAGAAACAGAAAGGCTATCAGTGTGGCTGAATGTGAGGATGGAGGGAGAATGGTGAGAGGTGAGCTGGAGAGGAAGCCAAGAGCCAAATTGGCACAGCTGTGCAATCCTTGTCCTCTCTTCCCCTCCTACATTATAGATAAGAGTTAATGACCCACAGGCACCCGTTATGGATGAACAAATGTGAATATGTCTGGAGGAGGGCCTTATTCAAAATGCTCTTGAAGAAACAAACAAATGTTATCTGACACTTGGCTTTGGATGTATAGAAAAATTATCCTGTTTTTAACCTGGGAAGTGGAATGAACAACAAGAACTCTCACAAGAAGTCAGGGGGTGCGGTTCCCATGCCACAGATTAAGACTGAGGTTCGAAAAGTTATGTAACTTGCCCAAATCACAGCTAACAAGAAACCAACGTATCATGTTCTTTCTCCTTTATTTGACTGCCTTTCTTCAAAATGAGCCCCAAACAGCCCTTTACAAACATAAAAGTGTCTATATTTTAATTTGGTTTTGCTAATGATATAAATGGGCACAGTAACAATTATAGAGACTTTGCATTTATTTTGAGAGTTCCTCCTCTATATTAGTTTCTTAAAGCTGCTGTAACAAACTTGGTTGTTAAACACACAGAAATTTATTCTCTCACGGTTCTGGAGACCAGAAGTTCAAAATTAGTGTTGAAAGCGCTGTAGTCCCCCAGAAAGCTGTAGGGAACAATTTGTTTCTTGGCTTGTGGCTGCACCCCAATCTCTGGTCAATGGCCTGCCCTTCTATTTTTGTGTCTCTTTTAAGGACAATTGTCATTGGGTGTAGGGCCCGCTAGGATAATCCAGGATGATATCAACTCAAGATCCTTAACTTATTTACATATGCAAAGACCCCTTTTCCAAATAAGGTCATATTCACAGGTTCTGAGGGTTAGGATGTGGATACATATTTTTCAGGGGCCCCTACCGAGCCCACTACACTCTCCCTGAGCTTAAGCCTGGAAACTCTCCCCTGGTGGTCAGCTGGGCTCTCATCAGTCTCAGCTCATTTGTTCTTCTCCTCCCGGGGATTGCTGACCTACACTGCCTATTGTCTGAAAACCATTGTTTCAGATATTTTCCCCAGTTTTCTAGTTGTTTAAGCAGGAGGGTAAATCCAATCCCCATTACTCCAGTGTGGCTAGAAGCAGAACTTGCACCCAAGAGTGTAAGTTCATTGAGTGTAGAGACCTTTTTCTGTCTTGCTCACGGTTGCACCACCAGTGTCTATAGAAATGAATGGAGCATAGTAATCCTTCCATAGCAACTGATGAATTAATGAACAAATGAATGAAAAAGAAGTTAATCTAAATCCTTTATTGTTCTCTTGTTTAGGACCAAGTGGTGACAACTCCTATTACTTCTGTCAATTTGATGAGCTTGAGCCATCTCTCCTTAGCTGCATACCTGCTAGAGTAAGTCAGTTTCTTCCTCAATCCACTTTCAGCCCTCTCAGTTTGACTTTCATGGTTAATGCAAAAAAATGGCATGGAGAAATTTAAGAGATTTAACTATGTGGTACATTTTGGGTAATAATTTATAAGAAGTAGGTTCTGCCTGTGTTTTAAAAGACACAGGGGACATTTGGGAGAGGGCCTGATATGGGGAGGGTAAGTGAGTACACACTTGTCATAAAGAAATGGGGCCAGACAATGTGTTGGAGAATAAATTATGGGGCACTGAGAAAATATGAGAGGGAAGAAACTTGTCTATCAAAGAATACAATTTATAAATTATGTCCATCCATATCAAAACAAATGTGACTACATATGAAGAAAAATGGTTTCTACTTTCATTTTCCATTTATTCACTAATTAAGTTAAAAAAGAAAATAGTTATTACCATTATCAACAGCATTTATTAGAGTATCTGTTATATAGCTTTTTTACTTACCCAAAATCTTACTGTGTCTTGAATGTAGAGCTTTGTTAGTTTGTTTTGAATTTATCAGATTTGTAATTATAAATATAAATAATAGACACTTGTTATAATAAGCCTAAAAATACAGAGGTAGATAAAGAACAGGTTATAAATCTCCTAGTTTAAATACAATCCCCTGAGGTAACCAATATTAGCAGTCGATTGTTTATCTTTCTATATCTTCTTCAGTGTTACTATGAACATATATAAACATATTTACATGTACACTGGGTGGTTGCTGGTTTTATAAAAATGTAAACAAATAAAATATATAACTTGTTTTTTGTTTTTCATTTAACAATAGATTAGCGACATCCCACCAAATAAATGTATATAGATTCACCTCAGATGTTTTAATCTAGAGTATGAATTTACTATCATTTATTCAACTGCTCCTCAAATGATGTATATTCTGGTGATTTACAAGTTTTTGCCACCAAATATAATACTACACTAAACATCCCTGAGATTGCAGACTGTTTTAATTTTATCATCATGGATATCTGAGACTTGAAATATAACCATTCCAATGCCACTTTCTTCCCTCCGTTCTCCCTGTCACTTGGAGAACGGGACTGAAGGGAGACTGAAGATGAGCTGTAAAAGCCGTTAATTACTCCATACGGCACATGGCCAGCAGCCTCCTGCTACAATATTTACGTCCTATTCCATTGAGATGGCACTCTGTGCTCACATGACCCAAATGCAGTTCTCACTCCACCAAGAACACAGTCGAATCCAAACTGCATTGGCAGCTTTGCACATGCTCCGTCTGGCCCTGTGAATCCTTACTCACCCATTGAGATTTCTTTTGGTTTAAAGCAACACTCCAGCTGCTGAAGCTCTGTGACCTTGAGTGTTTTCCTGGCCAAGATCCAAGGCAGGTGGCCCCCCACGAATACTGATTTTTAGGGTTTGAGCTCTTTTTGTATATTTGTTTAAGGGTGGAGGGTGCACAATTCTTACACACAGGTATAGCTGATGAATGAGGCCACGAGGAGCAACTATTTTCCTGGCAGGTATTACAGGAATAACATTTACCTATTTCTATCATTTGCCTTGACAACAAGCTGCAGCCATAATGCACTTTTAATTCTCAAACCAAGGTCTTGGCAAGTTATGCTGTTATCTGACAGTTGTGTTGACTGTAACGTGTGAGATGGTGTTTTCTTTTCTCTAGAGACCTGGATGCTTTTTGCCATTCTGATGGTAAATGATGAGACAGGCAACCATGGATTTCAGCACTCCATCTGTGTTTGATCAGCAAAAAGGTAAAAATGCTTCTTTAATATATCCTTTGGTTTTTCACATCTTCAGTCTAACAGTAGGGATTTGCAGTTGTAAGGGGAGATGAGGGTGTGTGTGTGTGTGTGTGTGTGTGTGTGCGCGCGCGTGCGTGTGTGTGTGTGTGTGTGTGTGATGTGGAAAGAGGATTTCACATAGAAAACAACCCTGTTCTAAATAAGCTTATGGTCTATTTGTCTTGTTAAAGTGCTCCTACCTACACATTTTAAAAATTGGGTTTCAAGCAAACCAGCCATTTCAGATAGTATCATCTTTATTCTCATTTGTTTTTTCTTTGCAAATCTTTTTAAAAAATATTAGAGTAAGCAATATAAAAAGAAAAAATCATGTATCTCTTTTCAATCTTAATCTAATATCTCACTGCTATAGTTTCATAAATATCTCTTGATTTCCTTCACAAATAGATGTTGCCCAAATTTACGATGTAGTTGATACATTATCTCATCTGAGGTTGTGTAATGACTTATCACTATGTTATCATTTGCAATGACCGGATATATCTTTCTTAATCCTAATATCCAGGGTAGAGGTAATTTTCTGCATGAAAAGATTGCTATGAACTTGACCTATCCTTATAAAAAACATGTATTCAGTCAGTCTCATTTTGCATATGAAGTGTGTGTATATACATATACATAATACCTATGTGTAATTATACATTTTTTTCTATGCATGTACAGGAAATGCCTATTCTGTGAGTGTAATAAATATTTTTTAGAATATATTTCTAAATATCTGATATCTAAACCACTTTCTATAATCTCTTAATATTCTTCGGGATCCTAAGGTCCTTTGGTCATTTACTTGTTTTGACTACAACATAAAAATGGTGGTTTGTGAAAGCCTCATTAAGAAAATTCACTGCTGCTTTATTTTTCCCTTGTCTTGCTCTAGACCATAGCGTGTTTACTATCCTTTAAGCTGCATCTGGTTTCACAGGTGAATTATTGTAGCTCAGCGTTTTCTCAAATAATAGATTTGCATTTAGATTTCTGAGTAACTATATGTATGTGTGTATTATATAGTTTGATGTCCAGTTTGATTTCCACTCGTTTTGAACAGTGTGTGTATATATGCATGTGCGCACATGCATGTGTGTGTGTGTGTGTGTGTGTGTGTGTGTGCTTTCCGAATGTGTTGGTTCACACTGTGTTTGGATATGAACACCACAGAGAAAGTGATGGTTACAGCTGTGGCCTCCACCATTCTCTCCCCTTCGTACATTTTGTATCACCGATGGCAATCAGCAAAAGTGAAAATATGCCTACATCCAAACCTCATACTGGCTTAAAATAAAAAATGGCATTGTTGAGCTATGCAATCCAAAGAGGAACACAATGGGTTTATTTTTTAATACTAATTTTGGGGAGCTGGAACAGACTGCAGGAAACTAGTGCTTCATAATGAGTTCATCTGTTCCTGTGTGTATCTCCTAACAAGACTGAGCCCAAACATAGTTAAAATGCAAATATACAATATTTATTTTCTTCTAGCACTTTTCATATAAACAATACACAGCGATTTCTTTATCCTAGGCTTGATTCTCTCCCAAGTCAGTTAACCCTTTTCCTGCCATCTCTGTCTCTATTTCACAGTCCTTTCTCTCTAGAGGGGCTGTGGTGTGGTGGCAATAACATGGGCCACATAGGTTAGAATGGAAGATCAGCTTTTTCTAAGCTGGGTGACCTTAGCAAGTTACCTAACCTCTCTGAGACTTAGTTTCCTCAGCAATAAAATGGAGGAAATGATGCTTACCTGCCAAGGCTGTTGGGAGAATCTAAAATAATATTAAAAAGCACCTGTCACATTGCCTGATATGCAATGTACTTTCAAATTATGGCTGCTTTGTTATTGTTATTGGTGTTATAATTATTACCACCCTGGACTGTGAGTGCCTCAAGTGCAAAAGACTATTCACCTTTCTATTTCCAGCTTGAATTTAGCAGTCCTCAGAATAAATGAGGGCTTAGTTAATGCTGGTTGACTGGATTCCATTTTTTTTTCCTTTTAGAGCTCCAGGGTACCATTTAGAGCAACCCCTAGAATAATAATTAACTGAATTATATCTGAATAGCTCTACTATCTCATTAACCCTTCTACCTTCTTAACAGCATGAAAGGCCTTAATAGATTTAGACCATTATATGGATTGTAAATGCCATATTGTTGGGCAAACCATGGCGAAGTGACTTTTCTTACAAAAAGTTGAGTATGGAGCTTTAGTAGGAAGATTTCCATGAATTCTGAGTATCTGGGGAATCAAAACTCTGGCGGCCACTGGCTTTTTATGCAGATATGGACAAAAGACATTACATCTGGAAGAATCTTAGAAGTCATGTAACCACTGGCTCTCAAACTTGACCACACATCAGAATCACCAGGACAGATTCTGAAAATGCTGATGCCTGGGCCTCCCCACTGGAGATTTCCATTTAATTGGTGTGGGCTTTGAACTGACAAAAGCTCCTCAGGAAGCTCTAATGTACAGCAAATGTGGAAAACCACTCATCCAGTTCATCCCCTAACATCTCAGGTAGGGAAAGTAAAGCCCAGACAGGTTAAAAGCTGGGCTCTTTTTAATAATAATAACATGCAGCTAATTAGTAAGAGGGGCTTGACACCCAAGAGCTCTCTACAGGACAGCAGAACAATAGTGAGCTTTTTTTCATGGGCTATCTCTGGCCTAACAGCTACTCAGTGGTGGGGGTGGGGGTCAGGCAGCTCTGGCTCAAGGTTTCCTAGAGAATGGTTAGCATTGTACACTTGAAAAATAGGATACATAATGACCTTCAGGGCTCAAACGAGGCTGAATCCCTCTAACTTCATTTTTCTGTATTTCTCTATATATTATGCCTCTAGGTAACAAGATATCCTGCTTAGGGATCGAGAGACAATTGTTCAAGTCCTGTCTGTCCTCTTCCCCATTGCATGAACTTATACAAACTGATCTCTTCATCTGTAAAATGTGGATCATATTATATATTCGCAGGGCTGCTGGGAGGCTTAAAGATCGGGTTTTCTGACGGGCCAAGGGGATTAGGACCACATCTCTGGCTTGCTTTGTGAAATCGTGAGGGAGGAAGCCCGAGTCCTTAGAGATCTCCATTCCCGCATGGTGCTTTTTGCTTTCACCATAGCAACGTCCCTTCTGGTCCCACGTGCTCTTCCTGGCTTTCTTCCCTCTCAAAGCTCACATGCAGGAAAGGACCTGTAGTAAAATTATTTACTACAGTACACAGAGGTTCCTGCTGAAACTGAGATATTCTGTAACTGAAGATATTTGCATTTTCAACTTTGTCTCCCGTTGTGGAAAGAAAAGCTTTGCTGTGCTTGAGGAGGAACTCTAGGCCTCAGAGAAAATGGGAGTGAGAAGTGTGGTCCCAAGGGCCTCGTTCACCCCTGGCCCTGCCCAGGTTCTGTGAAAAATTTGTTTGCTGAGTAGGGTGTTTGCAGGCACCTGTGGGGGCTGGGGCCCACCCTCACAGGTTTTTCTCGGTTAGAGTTGTTGGGAGAATGAGTAGGGGCTCGACCCTTCAGCCCAGATTTTTAAAAAAGCATTAGTGTCCTAGGTGCTGTAACAAATTGCCACAAGCTGGGTAGCTTAAAACAACAGAAATGTATTCTCTCACAAGTCTGGAAGCCAGAAGTATAAAATCAAGATGTCAGCAGGGGATTTGCCTCTTCTGGAGGCTCTAAGGAAGAATCCTCCTTTGCCTCTTCAGCTTCTGGCTGCTTCTGGCCGCATCACTCCAGTCTCCGCCTTCTCTGTGTGCGTCTCTGTCTTCTGTGTGTCTCTCAAAACTCCCTCTGCCTCTCTGTTAGAATGATATATGTGATTACATTTAGGGCCCGCCCAAATCATCCAGGATAAACTGCTATTCTCAAGATCCTTAACTTAATCACATCTTTTGACATATAAGGTGATATTCACTCTTTTGCCATAGAAAGTCATCACAATTTCTGGGGATTAAGGCATGGATATATCTTCAGGGTTCCCATTCAGCCAGCTACATGGCATGAAAAGTGGTCAAATCCCTTCTCAGAAAGCACGCAGCCTTGTGACTTGGTTTTTGGTAAAATTCATTCTTATTTAAGCTGGAAGGAAATTTGGTATTTGTGAACTGGGGTGGGAAGGGTATCTATTTAGTGCAGACTCTGTGCAGGTACTTTATATAGATTACATCATGATAGGAACTAATGTTTACTAAGTAGAGCCAGGCTATGTGACCTTACATAGACTAGCTCATTTAATTCCCACATCTGTCCCACTATTGTTTCTACCCTTTTACCAGTGAGGAAATTCAAAAAGGTTGTTACTTACCCAAGGTTACAAGACAAAACGGCAAACCTGAGATTCAAGCCTAAACCTGCTTGACTTCAAAACGTGTGTTTTTCCTATGACAGTACTCTTCCTTGATCAACCAAAAATTTTAATGAAGAAATAGGACATCAACAAAAATTCGTATTAATGAAGGATATATTTTCACAATCAGACTGTTATTCCACTGCATTATGGATTGTTAAAGCTCCCGCATGCAGACATGCTGGTTTTAATCTCCAACTTTTCATCTAAAATGAGAATGCTAGACAAAAAGAATTTAGTATGCACAGATTTGCTCTTTGCTGAAAAAGCAAAAGTTAAAATTCTGGTGTGCCAACCAGATGCCTCTAAAGGAAGAATAAGCAGGTTTAGAAAGGGATTTGGGAAGAGAACAGAGAAAAGGCAGGCAAAGGAGCTAGAAAAGAGGGAATGATATGGGCTCAGTGGATGATTTTAGGCTCATGGATCTTCTTGGGAATGACACCCAGGAACACTGAGAATTCTGTGATTGATTTTCAGATTGATGGTCCAGATAGAGGAAGACTAACCAGCAGATGACCAATCCACAGGTTTAGAAGTTGATTAAGTATTGCTTTTGGGGAAAAGCTCAGCCTTCTCCCTCTCTTGGCCAAGAGAAAAGATCAGA